TCTGATGACGGTACCCCAACTGCTCTATTGCGGCTTTCAATTCCCGGGAGTTATCAGTGTAGAGAACCTCAACCTCATCCCTACCGGAAATGAAATGTTGGATCCCTGCAACGGATTGCTCCGTGCTTTTGCTGGTCGACGGGTAAACGTACCTGAACTGCGTGTGCACGTCCTTGATCACAAGAGCACACCATTCACCTTTGATGCCTTGCTCGATGTTGGCCTTGAGAATCACATGATCAGCAATGATGTGATCTCCAAACGCTTTCGTCTCGAGCCTTCCCTGCCCGCCTTTCGATCTTGCATATGGGGCAAGCATCTTGGCACGTTGGCAAGTGCGGCAAAAGGGATTCTTCGGATAGTGTGCAAACAAGTGCTCTTTGGTACCTGCTTCGGCAACCAGATCTTGCTCTTTGCGGGATCTCACGAACCGCTCAACTTCATCGTCGGGATCATCACCTTCGTCGATGCCTTCGTCATGAGCCGGCGCAGGCGCTGGCTTGGATGCTGCTATTCAACGATGGCTCAGCTTCACAGCTAGAATCCATATATGGCACATGACCGTCAACCTTGAGCTGGATCAAAGCACCATCAGGGCGAACCATGGTTGGCGCCTTCCCGGATTCCCAATGGAAGGAATATCCTTGATCCAGACACTTCACACCCAGCGACAGTACTGCGGGAGAACTCTCGAGGATGTAAGGCTGAGCAGGCTCACACAATGCATCGACATTGATGTCGGCGATTTCGGAAGCAGTGATGTTTCCGTTTGCAGTCACAAGGCGAATGGGCTAAGGGGCCTGTTTTCGAATTGCCTTGGACGTATTCCTCAGTGCAGCTTTGCTGATGAGGTCCTGCTCACTACCGGAATCAATGAGCCACACATCCTTTCCCTGGTGGCTGCCCTTGGCGCTTCGACATCCTTGCGAACATCGTGAGGCGGCATGGCAACTCTCAGGCACTCATCACACGATAGGCTTGAGATGGAATCGGATTCCACATCGCACATGAAACCGCAAGCGGGCTGGGCTCCATTCTCCATGGCTTTGACTACGGCATTCAATTGGTTCGCGGCCTTGCGCGCTGCCTTGTTAGTCCCTTTGGTCGGCCTGGGGCAGTCCTTAGCACTTGGAAACATCCTATTGTACTGCCGTTCCTCATACTCAAGCTTAAAACCATCGCCTTCGGCGGGGATCTCATGCACATGAGCATTAGTGTCGAATGACACTCCGATTGGATCGATCGGCTTTGCGAACATGGCGTACCTGGTGCAGACTGCAGCGGCTTTGGCCTTGGGCTTAGGCTTAGGTGAATTTGCACGCTTCTTAGCCGCAGGATTTGCATTGGCCTCGCTGCTCGATGCCGCGGCGGCAGATTTGCCGCCCGTGGAGGCATGGCTAAACTTGCATTTGTCACCTCTAGTGCACTTCCCTTGGGCAAAGAAAGAACACGGTGCTTTCTCTCCTTTACCGCCTTTGGGGGAGCTTGGCCTGCCGCGGGTCGCGGAGCGTCCTTGCGGTGCGCGTAAGGGCAAACCCCTCGTCTGCACGAGCCCTTCTGGAAGTCAATACAGTACTTCTCCTCGGTGTCCTTCGGCTTAGGTGCGCTCTTTTTCTTGGGGTCCCTCTTTTCAGGGGCGGCAGCACCAGCCTTGGGCGTCGGGGCTTTACTGGCATTGACCTTGGACACGCGCTCTCGGTTCTCGCGGAGCCTATCCCTCTCGATTAGATCCCTCATGCAACGCATTAGGAAATCGTACGATTTGTTGGGATCATCATCACGGCAACGATCATATGTGTCAATGTCGTACCGCAACAGATGGCAGCTTCTCACTTGGCGAAGCAAGATGTCTTTCAACACCTTTTCTTCCGGCGGCCTTTTCATGCCCTTCAGCTCATCGAGCTCGTCCTGTGGGCCATCATGTCAACCGCTCTGGCGTGTGTCGCCTCAACACGGGCTGTGTCATCGGCGTGCTTGGCAGCTTGCTCATGAAGGAGCTGCTGGGCTTCCGCCAGGGTGGATTCAATGGCTTGCCTAAACTCAGTTGTTTTGCGTCCCATTTCCGCTTCATGCAATGCTTGGGCATTTTCCTCACACACTTGGCTTATCCTATTTTCAGCGAAGTTCACTTCTTGAATGAACTCATCGCTCACTCGCTGTTCGTATTCACGAATCCTATGCGACTGGGCTTGCACACATTCAGCGTAGTGTGCATGCAGCTGATTCTGTGCGGCACGGAGCTCCTCACGGTTTTCCGCTTGCAAATGCGTAACAGCTGCTTGATGCAGGGCTTCGGCTTCAGACCTAATGGCTGCATCATTCCCAAAAGCAAAGATTGCGGTATTGTACAGTTGAAGGGAATTCATCAGGGTGCGGTTGTATTGCGCATTAGCGCTTGATGCGAACATTCGCACACCGCCGCCGGTGGCGTTGCCGGAGCTAGCTCCGGCAGCATCCACAGGCATGCTGGATCCATCAACTGGCACAAGGGAACCGTCCATTGCTTAGAGCTAGGGGCCTACGGCTGATAACCTATAGATTCAAGGGTTACCGGTTTGGGGCCCAAAAGGAAACAACAAACCGTCCAAGTGCGCTGCTCGCACATTTTCACGCTTGAACAGCCACACTGCGGATGCAATGGATGTAAAACCCCATACTGACCGATCAAATTCTTCAGGTTCTTAGATTCAGCGGGCACTAAAATGGTGCGGTTTACCGCTAGTTCCTGGCAGGGAACCGGTTTCCCCAAAATTTCCCGCCAGAAAACATGGGCAGACCCGCCAGTTCTTTCAGCCGGGCCGCTGCTATTTATAGTTGGGATTGTCCCTTACTAACCTTCATCTACCCCGGGGTTGTGATTTTTGCTGACCTGAAAAGGCTACGAAACCCACACATTTCGCGGATCTCCATGGGCGCCCGGTACGAATCTTTCGGTCACCGCAGAACTGAGCCACGAATTTCACTCTGGAAACCGGTTGCCGACTCCAAAGACCCCCAAGCCGCAACACACCCAGGAGGAGACACAAGCCAGGCGTGCAATTCCTCTCGGATTTTTTTTTGCAAACAAAAACCACCTCGCCTTGAGAAGCAAGGTAAACAAACAAGATCTGGGATGAGGGCTCTACTTGGATCAGCCGAGTTGGTGGTAAGGCATCCGGGTTGCGACCTACCAACCACTGGGTTATATAACTCCTCTTAGGAAAGGAAGCTCACATCAAGCCGAATGCTGGGAAAACCAACGAGTAACTATGCGCTTGTGCTTGTTTTTTGCTTGGTTCTTGACTCATGAGATGGCGTGAACCAAACCTTTGCCGTCAGCTCCAGTCCAGCGCCACTTGATCTTCTGGCTGTTGCCTCAGATATGAGAGCTTCTCATCAGGTGCTTCGCCTCCAAGGATCGGAGAACTCCGGTCGCCATCCAATTCGCCCCTCTCAGCTGCCATGCGGATGGTCACAGTCACAGGTCGCCCCGAATGTGTTTGTTGTAGGCCTGTGTCGCAGCTTGTACATCAGCAGGGTTGCTTTTGGGATGTGAAGGGCTTTCCAAGATGGCGCTCGTTGCTCTTGCAGAGCAGATTCTGCAGGCGCCGCTTGCAGCGGCAATCAGGGAAGCCCTGGACAAAACGGAGGTGAAGAGGGGGCGGGGGGTTTGGAGCGGCACAAACGTCAAGACATGAGCCGAAATGGCCTATCCTCCCCAAACGAAAAAAGAGGGGGGAAGTGAAGACGGCAACAGTTTGTAACATTCGGCAACTGAGGCCGATAAAAGGGCAAAAAGTAACTCCTTTATTGTGTCGGGTTTGGTTGAGGGTAATCCTTTTCAGGTTGGTTGAAAGGCAAACCAAATGGAACACCGCCATGTTTGTGGCGACCCTATTTTGACGACATGGGTTCATCTCAAAATAGGGAAACCATCAATATTGGGTGGCTTCTTGTTGGTTTCCCTTCAAAACCAAACAGGGGTGCGTCTTCTTTGGGGGAACTTCCTGTTGGTCGGCTTTAGAGGGAAACCAAAAGCAAAAACCAAAGGACACAGACATTCAAGTTGCCCTCTTGGGCGTTTGCTTTCCCTTCAAGACCACCACCTGTTGGGGGCACCCTCAAAGATGTGTATTTCCCTCCAAAAAAACACCCACAACCACACGCCCATACCTTGGTTGACGTTGGAAGGAGAGCAAAAGAATAAATCTTAGCAGTTAAGTGGATTTGGATTTCAACCACTAAACCACAATAAGCAAAATTGTAAAAACTGTTTCCCAACGACAACCATGATACAGAATTCACGGCATTTCCCGTTCAACAGTTGCATTGTATCTGTCAAGCTCCTTGCAAATCTTGTCACTTTTGGAGATCCAAAGAAGGGAACCTGAGTGACCCCTGCGATATGGGGGTGTCTTTTGCTAAGCGTACCCTTTTTTGGGGTTACTTTCCACAAGGATAACTACCAGTTGTTTGGGGGAAGTCCCTAAAAACAAACCGGCCCCATTCTTTAGCCATTGTCAAAGCCAGCCCTGAAGTAGTAAAGCAACTGGAAACCACATACCAGTTGCCCAAAACACACACCCAACTGGCCCCATTATGCGACCAGGATCAGTCAGCCCAAGTGGTAGGCTAAAAGCAACACACCCACCAGCTTTCTGACTTGGACACCCCTAAGAAACGGTCAACATCAGCTGACCCAAGACTCAGGTCATCATTTAGACTGTTTCTGGGGGTTAAAGTCAGAAAATGGTGGGTTTCCCTTCAACCCGGCAAATGTTCCAATAGGGTGAGTTTGAGGCTAAAATCATGGGGACCCATATGGCCATGGGTCAAAATCAAAAATTCCGTACCCCCGGTGAACATCCCCATCCAACCACCAAAAAAGGTTCGAACATGGGTGGTGAATTCAGCTAAAAAAACCAAAATGGGATCCGAGGTACACCTACCCCAAAATGAAACACCCCTTGGTTTTGACACCCACAGCCATATTCCTCCAGCTGGCGCTTGGGCTCCCCGGCTGCTGCGCTGGAACTGCGCCAGCGCCTGGCTGGCCTGCCGCACCTCCTGTGGGCTTCCCGCCTCCAGCAGCCGCACCTGGTGTATGCGTTCCCCGCGTTCCCGCGGGCGCGAGCCGAGTTGTGGGTTCCGGTGGTACCACCTGAACCTGTTTTGTTTCAGGCCAACTTGGGACGGAGCCGGAAGCCGATAGAAAACACTCAAAGAGCATCTCGTACTGGCCAAGCTCAGCTTTCCACAAGGTCCCATTGCTGACTGCCCATAGCATCCTCGTGGACCATACATACCATACCCCCTCCTGCACCTATCATGTGTTCAAAAGTGCAAGGCCCAGGCGCCTCTCTCTCCCTCTCTCTCTCTCTCTGTGTATTTGGGCTTCACATGACGCTTGCCTTTCACGTGGAGTCCCTGGAATCTGGCTGAAATGCGTATGACATTCTTTGGGAGGAATCCCCCTTTGGTTGGTTTTAAAAGGAATTATCAGGAAATTGTTGGGGGTTCCCCCAGTTTGGGACACTGGGTGTCTTCTTTTGAGGGTACCCCAATGAGGGAAATGGTTCCCCAAGAACAAAACGACCCCTAGCGTCCTGCCTACTGGCCAAACGCCTCTCGGCTTGGGGCTTGGTATGTTGACCACCTAGCCACTTGGTGAGGGTAAAAAGGCCTCCAAACCACCCGACGAAAGAATGGGGGTATTGAAGCAACTGGCCATTTGATCAAATCTGCCGCCAAAGGGCTGGAGGTGCTCCAGTGGAGAGGTTCGGGTTGCGGGTACCGTTTCTTTTCTCTGTCTATTTTAGTAGGGGAACCCTCCCCTAGAAGGGGAATCTTAGCAAATATGTAGGACTATGTTACCAATCACTAGGTGTCAAGGAAATCGAAGGGAGCAAAGCAGGGTGGGTAACTGTTCCTTAACTCAATGGCTTGGGGGGTTTACGGGTGGAAACTTAGAAAACAGGAACTGTACCCAGTGCACCTCGCATGGGGAGAAAAAGGCTCGCAGGAACACATGAGATCCAGTTAGAAGAATGGAAGCCAGGAAAGAGGTACCAACGACAGCTATCAGTTGGATGGTCATCCGCCCCACATAAGCTTTGGGTCATGGACATTCCCACTAAACGCTTGTGTTTGGGGGAGGGAATGGACCTCACATGATGACGTGATCTTGATGTTGTCTCCTACCAACATGCCAAAGTCTTGTAGGGGTGACTGAATTTCCCCAAATCAACAGTTGCAATTTACTTGCAGGGCTGTCTTGAACCTTCGCAACTTTTGGAGGTTCCATGTATCTATCGTCCGTGCTATACTTCCCCAAACGAAAAGGCGTCCTATCCGGGTCCCACATTGCAGCCTACAAACTGCAAACCGTTTTGCCGGGCAAAAGTCCCAAAAGGGACAGGCGCTGAGTGAAGCCTGGCAATGATAATAGGCTACCCGAATGCACCGCTGAATTCAAAGCCCCCCCCCCGGTTGAGCCGTGGGGCAACATCTGTTTCAACAACGGCGACCCTGGACGCCTTTAAAGGGGAACCAAAACAAAGTTGAGAAGAACCTAGGTGGGCGTATTTGGGAGGCCCCCCAAACTGGTTGACATCTTTTTGGGTTTCCCTTTAAAAGCAAACAAACATGGAAACTCGAAACCAGATGTGGGGGGATCACAATGAAAGAGTGTCCATCGGTTTGACAACCCCATGTTTCACCGGCTGTTCAACAGAGGGTCTGAAAAAATCAACTACATGACGCATCCCCTTTTGTTCACGACATGGACCAGCCAGTCAGCTTCCAGGTGGATGGGATCTCATCACACCCTCTCTTCCCCAGCGGATGGCCCAAAACAAGTACCCGAACTTTTCACCTGTACCACCAAAATGGCCCAACCCCAAAATTTGAACAGGTCCAAACTCTACTTCAGGTCTTCCCCTAAAAAAAACGACTCAAGTCCCTGAACTCAAGGGGGCGTCATTTCTCTCTCCCTTGGGCTTCCTTTCAGTGTCCGCTTCTCCAAAACCCGCCCACCGCCCCAAAGGAAGTGACTTAAAACCACACCCATTTTTGGAGTCCTTAGCTTTGCAAGGTCTGACCCCAATGCCGACCCTGGGGCCATGGAAAATCCGTTGAGCTCAGGAGGTTTGACGCTCCATGGTCAACCCAGAGCCATGCTTCAAGAATTGAGAAGCCGGAATTCCGCAGCTATTTATGGGGATTGCCCCCTAACCTTCACCAATCCCCCACTCGGTTTTGATTGCAAGTGGCTCACATGGTCCTCCAGTCGTCTTCTGTACGCTATTTTAGTAGGGGGTTTCCTCTTCAACCCCAAACAGAAACGGTGAGGTTCAGGGACATAGGTGGCCTTTTGGAAAAATAGATGGGTTTCCCTGGTAAACGGCCATCTAAACCAGGACTCGCCCAACCATGCCCAACCTATTTGGTAAGCAAACCCACCAAAAAGTTGACACCTATGTTAAGGGACGGTGCGGCTTTGGAGTCACGGCGAGCTCAGTTCCCTCAGCTCATTTGGAGCCCAGCTCACGCGACCGAGCGACCGAGCGCCTGCCGCGCGAGCTCCTGAAGCTGCTCCATGCCATGGCATCCACGTCGGTAACATGTCAGCAGCTTGCCGGTTGAGAAACGGAGGGAACTCGGCCATGGAACTCGGACTTTGGGACACAAAACTCGGACTTTGGTTAGAAACCAAAAACAATCGCGCCCCAGGTTGGTTGGATGAGTTTGTAGGGACACCCCTCTTTTGGTTGGTTGAATTTAGAGGGACATGTGCGCAAAGAGCATTTTCCTGGCCGGGGGTGCAGCCGCGCAAGCTGGGGGGAAGGACTGTCACTGTGAGCGTTGCTTAAAAAAACGGCCGACGACGGGTAGCTTTGTCCCAAGGAAACCAAGACTCAGTTGTTCAGTGACCCTGGAAAAAAAGGGAACCCTTTTTGGGGGAAAGACCGTTTTTAGTGGGGCAGCCACCAAAAAAGGGGAAAAAGGGTGCCACTGAACAACTGAGAACAGGACTGAACGTATTCAACGTGCAGGCGGCTTACTCAATGGTTGGAGCAAATTTGTGTAAGGGCTGCTGCTGTTGGCTGGCTGCAGGCTGTGGGTTGAGAGCGCCTTGGCCGGAGCACGGCCATGGTGCTTTGCGGAGGCAATCAACAACCAGCAGCTTGGAGATCCTGGAGCATCTATTCGGAGCCCTCACAACCAACTTGAGGTGTTCCTCTGGAAAAACAGTCACTCAACAACCAAAGACCTCCATGAGCCCAACGCCTGGATAACCCAACGCTTATTTGGTGCCTGTCAACAGTTGATCTTTTCATGGTAGTCTTTCCCCGGCTTCACGGGCTTTGGGGCGATCTAGTGCTGTTCGCGGGCAGCAAAGTGCCCTTTGCGTTGAGAAGCTGCGAGCCGGTTGGCAAGTGCCAGGGTCTGTGCCAAAAACGAAAAAGACCAGGACCCTCAAAATACCCAGAAAAACATATTGATCATCAAAAATAAGTTTGAGGTAAAACGTATTTTTGAGTGAGGGTTCAGGTAAACATGATCATGTGGCGGTTTTCCAGTTGGCTTCCCCTTCCACCAAGCCGGAAAAGACACACTCCAACAAACTGCGCCCACCAAGGGTTTGTCCAGCTTAATGAGGAAGGGGGCCCCAAGAATTCTGCAAATGGAAGTTGTGGAGGGTCCCCCTAAAAAAACAACCCCATATTGTTTAGGAAAAACCGAAAGCAAATATGATATCTCCCACAACCAAGAAGAATCTTGCCAAAAAGGTTAAAAGTTCAGGAACTCAGGGAGTCAGCTGTTGATAAATATGAATACTGGGTGTTTCAACGTTGGCGGGCTGCAAATCAGAGTGGTGCGCTCCACCAAGCTCTCTTGGATCCGGAATCAACGTGGGTGTGCCCAGTCCTAGTCATCTATCCGAAGCCATAATTTTGACCTTCCCTATTTGGAGAGGCCTCAGGTTTGGCAGTAGCGCACGCTCCATAAGGGAGGGACATGGTGGACTCACTCACTTAACAACAAAAGACAAACAAAACAAATTATATATTTTCTTAGAGAAAAAATAACCACAACCCCTTGCCATTTACATTTCTTCAGCAAACGGAAGTTTTGGGGGTCCCAGCAAAAGACAAGCCCACGTTGCTTAGGCAAAACCGCTGACGAGACGACGCTTGTCAGTATTATAAATTGGACGAGTTACCCTCGGTCATGAAGGGGGCCAGGAATAATTATTGATCAACCCCCACATCTGTGATACCGCTTTAAAGCCTTCCCAAGAAAGAGGCCTGGGACCAGTGAGTGGTCTACTTGGGGCGGCCGCCCTTTGGGAGCTTCCGGCCGTTTTTTGCTTCTGCTGTCAGCTCGAGGCCCGGGCCGGGCTCGACGCCACCAGGGCGCGCGGAGTCTGCAAGGGTTGGTGAACGAACTTGTGATTTGTTGGTTTGGTGGCTGGGCTGGTCCACCCGCCTTCCCACCCTCACAGGTGAATGGGAAGGTGGATGGTGGTGGGTGGATGGGTGGGTGGGAAGGTAGGTGGGAAGGTGGATGGTGGGTGGTGGGTGGTGGGAAGTGGGTGGGACAATTTTGAGATGGGCAACCCATTTTGTCTTGGGTTGCGCTGACTGAATCCGGCGCTGGATGGGTTACCAACCTTCATCCCGCTCCTGATCAGCCGCGCTTGTTGCCTAGATGCAGGTGAGTGTCTTGGAATTGAAGGGCCAATTCAAAGAATGACGGAGCAGGTCAGGCTGCTCGCGACACAAGATTAAGTAGCGTGGGCTTTTTTGGCTTGGGTGAAGGCGACATTGAGCCGGGCTTCGGCTACAAGAAGCTGGTCATGCGCACAGTGAGAAGGAGTGTACAGACCCCGTGCTCTTGACTTGACGGTTTTGGTGACCTCAACGAACTCCCCAAAGCGGTGAGGGAACTGCGCAAGCTGGGCGTTGATGAACTCAGCCCCCAGCGAGCTCATTCGGTCCCGGATCTCAGGAGCGAGCATGTTGGTGATGCGCTCCCGGCGCGAGACTTGAGCTCGCCCCGCTCGAAAGCCAGGGAAATGACGAAGTGTGCAAAGGAGTGGGGCCAGCCGTCGTCAGCTTTCTGCTTGGCAGAAGAGGCCCAGAACGAGCTTGGCAGTTTCAGATTGGGGCGTGAGGTAAGCGAAAAGAAGCACGCAGGACCCGTGTGGTGAGCGAAAAGAAGCGCGGAGACCATGGCCAACACCTGGGTGACAAAGGTGCAGAGACTTACTTGGCGCCCGCCCTAAGTCAGAGCAGGACCGGAAGTCACCGCAGGCACCCCAGCCGCGCATGGGGCACGCATAAAACCGAAAGTCACGGCAGGGCGCCGAAAGTCAGAGCACGTGGTGCAACTCCGCATGGCACATCGCATGTCAAAGTGCATCATTGGAATGTCTGAAACCTTCAAAACCATGCGTGTGATAGTTCAAAATGAAGTTTCTGCATGCCGAAAGTCAGAGCGCGTGGTGCAAATCCGCATGGCCCATCGCATGTCAAGTGATTCACCTCTGATCAGGCGCGCGAGGGCTTGAAACACTCTAATCCTCGAAGTTGGGTGACCCATATGGGTTTTCACGCGTGGGCTCCTTCCCACGCCATGCGCTTGCTGAAGTTTCTGCTTCAGTTGCTCAATCGCCCTGCCATCCACCTGCCCGAGACAGGCTTATCACCTTCAAGGCTGACCACATCCCTGGCTCTGGAATCCATCCACCCCGCCCTCTCGCCTAAGCTTTTCTTTTATCTCACATCAAGCTTGCTCACATTCTCACTTCCTGAGTGGATTTGCCAAAGAAACATGAACTAATCATATAATGAATTAGCATCCTCTAAACACATGCCTCAACACCAAAAGTACTTAGAGGGTGCTTAATCCAGAACTCAAGAAGGGAGCTTTTTTCAAAAAAACGCATCTTGTGCTGAGCCTGAGTTGGGAACTCAGGGATGCAGGCTAGCCTTTGGCTGCTCAGCCCTCAGCTTTTTGCATGAGTGCCACCAGCTGGGCATACTCAGACAAGTTGGATGGCTTAGCCTTTGCCTTTGGCAGGCTCAGGGGGGGAGCTTTGCCTTGTTGAGACTGAGCGCTCAATTTGAGAACGCGGGCCTTAGCCTCCACCACCCCAGGCTCAATGCACCTCATGGCACTTGCTGAGCTGATCCTTTGCTTGACTGAGCTTAGCAATCATGCCCTCAAGCTCATCTACCAGCTCTTCATTCTCAGCCTCCAGCTGGTAGATCTTCTCAGCTCATGCCTCAGGAACCTGGCCCCAAAGCCATGGCCGTCTGGGTGTGGTCAGGAACTTGGGGTAGCCCCTCAGCCACTGTGAGTACCTTCTTGTGGTACTTGTAGATCTGCTCAGCTTGCCAGCTCCTCTTGCAAACCACGCACCTTGTTTGCCATGGGAGCCTGCTAAGCCAAAGCTTAGTTTGCTTGCCATCCTCAGCACCGAACTTGCAAAGAAAGCAAAAACAGAGACTTAAATACGCTGTTGGTGCCTTATGTACATTACTAAGCAAAGAAATTAAGCAAGCAAAATGGTCAGCCAAAAGCTTAAAATGTCTGTGTTTGGCAGCTGAGTTGCAATGAGTGCAGAAGATCTCAGGCTCAGCCCAGTGGACCCTGCTGAAGGTGAGCTGGGTCTTAGGGCCCTTGACTGAGCTGGCAAACAAAGCATCAGGCTTAGGAGCAGGAGGAATCATCTGAGGGTACATTGCTCAGCACAGTTGCAAGGAGTAAGCTGAGAACTGTGAGCAGCAAGAAATGGCTGCAGGTGCTCAGCTTCCAAACTCAGCGCCCCCAGCACCCAAACTCAGCTTCAAACACCCCTCTCAGGAAACCCTTGAAACTAAACCCTTTCAGAAAAATCCTTCAAACTGAAGCCCTCTCAGGGAAACCCTTGAAACTAAACCCTCTCAGAAAAATCCTTCAAACTGAAGCCCTCTCAGGGAAACCCTTGAAACTAAACCCTCTCAGAAAATCCTTCAAACTAAAGCCCTCTTAGGAAACTCAATCCTTCCCATCCCTTTTCCCTCCTCCCCCTCCCCCTCCCCCTCTATTGCAGCAAAGTGGCTCTGAGCAATGATGCCACTGAGCAACAGGAAGCTGAGGAAGCCCACAATCTTCAGGTGCTGCTTCATGGCCTGGGCTGAGGGTTAGTTAAGCTAAGCAAACAAAAGCTAAACAAATGCAGTTAAGCCACTCAGCCAGCAGAAAGGCGAAGCACGGGCTGGAGCTAAGCAGAAGCAAGAGCAAGAAAATGGCACAGCACACAAACTCAGCTCAAAAGGAAGCCCCAGCAATACTAAATCAAATGGAAACTCAATTCCAAATCTCAAAAAGGAAGCTCCAAGCAACACTAAGTCAAATGGAAACTCAGTTCCAGATCTCAAAAGGAAGCTCCAGCAATACTAAATCAGATGGAACCTCAATTCCAGATCTCAAAAAGGAAGCTCCAAGCAATACTAAATCAAATGGACACTCAGTTCCAGATCTCAAAAGAAAGCTCCAGCAATACGAAATCAAATGGAAACTCAAGTCTACCAATACTAAGTCAATTT